AGATTTGGCAGGAGCTGTTCCGATTCACTGTCATCCTCATGGTGCTAATAGCCACATGCCTTGTCTTCCCTCGGAACAGTGTGTCTTTGCACAGTGACCAGGTAGGTAACTGACCACATGTGGCCAGAAACAGCAGGTCCCAGCCCTCTCCACACGCTAAGTCAGGCTTGAGGGTTCTGGCCTGGAACTCACAGTGTATAGAGTTTAAGGATTTGAGGAGCAGGTGTTAGAGTTTAAGAAGTTCTGAGTTCTGGCCAGGTGTGGTGGCTCACGCCTGTAATCCCAGCACTTGGGGAGGCCAAGGCGGGAGGATCACCTGAGGTCAGAAGTTTGAGACTAGCCTGGCCAACATGGTGAAACCCCATCTCTATTAATAGCACAAAAATTAACCGAGCATGATGGCGCACGCCTGTAATCCCAGCTGTTTGAGAGGCTGAGGCAGGAGAATTGTCTGGACCCGGGAGGCAGAGGTTGCAGTGAGCCGCCAAGATCGTGCCATTGCACTCCAGCCTGGGCAACAAGAGCGAAACTCCGTCTCCAGAAAAAAAAAAAAAAAAAAAAAGCTCTGAGTTCCAAGCCTTGACTAACACACTTTTTGCCTCACTATCTCAAGTAGAGGGTCAGAGAAGCAGCGGCTTTGCAGGCTCCTGAGGCAAGGGAGAGAAACCCACCACCACCAAGCAGGGCTCTCCCAAGGGCCGGATGGTAGAGCCTATCTGGGACACTTGGTGGTGGCAGTCACAGTACCTTCCAGAATCACAGCAAACCACCAGCCCCGCACCTGAAAGGCCAGTTCCCCCGGTACCCCCAGACTCCCACTGTACTTGTGCACTCATCTGTCCCATGCAAGTCGGACCATGGCCAGGTCCCCCCTCCTGAGCCTGGGCCCCCCTTCCTGTGGCTTCCTCCTCCTGGCACATCCCCCACTTCACCCCAACCACCGGCATCACCCATCCACCAGAGGCCAGCTCAAATGCCAGCCATCCACGTGCCTTCTCTCCTCTGCCCAGTTACCTTTCTTGGGGCAGCAGCTTTCTTTTTGTTTGTTTTTTCACTTTTTTTTTTGAGACGGAGTTTCGCTCTTGTTGCCCAGGCTGGAGTGCAGTGGCACGATCTTGGCTCACCGCAACCTCCGCCTCCCAGGTTCAGGTGATTCTCCTGCCTCAGCTTCCCGAGTAGCTGGGATTATAGGCACGTGACACCCCAGGCCCAGCTAATTTTGCATTTTTAGTAGCGACGGGGTTTCTCCATGTTGGTCAGGCTGGTCTCCAACTCCCAACCTCAAGTGATCCACCCGCCTCGGCCTCCCAAAGTGCTGGGATTACAGGCATGAGCCCCCATGCCCGGCCTGGGGGCAGCCCCCTCTCAACTCCCAGAGCACCGCTTCCTTCTCTGACTTCCTCCATCTCCCCACAGAGCATTCCCACCAGTTACACCCATCTCTGTCTCTCCTCCTAGCTGTGAAGTTCCTCAAAGACCCAGGAGCCAGCTATCCTGTCCCCAGGACCTTGAACCATGAAGGTGGAAAGTAGAGAGCAGAGTCTGAGGTTATGGGTGATATGACTCCTGCCTAAGACCCCTGTGGCCATCACTGCTGCCCCGGCCAGACCAGCCACTGCCCACAGAGGGATCCACTAGTGGCGGCATTGGATGGGCTTTAGGTGTACCCATGGTCCAGCTCACCTTTCTTGCCCATTTCAGCTCCATCAGCCACACACACCTTTTATTTATTTATTTATTTTTGAGATGGAAATTATTTATTTTCTCTCTTGTCATCCAGGCTGGAGTACAATGGCACAATCTTGGCTCACTACAACCTCCGCCTCCCCGGCTCAAGCAATTCTCCTGCCTCAGCCTCCTGAATAGCTGGGATTACAAGTGTCTGCCACCACACCCGGCTAATTTTTGTATTTTTAGTAGAGAGGGGTTTTCGCCATGTTGGCCAGGCTGGTCTCGAACTCCCAGCCTCAGGTGATCTGCCCTCCTTGGCCTCCCAAAGTGCTGGGATTGCAGGCAGGCTACACCGTTCAACAGTCCCCAAGAGGGGAGGGATGCAGACCCTGAAGTCCTCAAGATAGGCTGGATTCAAGAGCCCAGATGATAGGACACAGAAGAAAACCTAAAAGAAAGAAGACACTTGTGAGATACTTTGTGCAAATACAAGCAAATGCAGATGTGAATTCTCTTTTTTTTTTTTTTTTTTTTT